CCAGTTTGTTTCCATTTGTCTCGCTCATCTTGGCCCCGAAGACCTGACCTCGCCACTCTCATACCTGCAACATGTGTCTGACCCCTAAGTGACGGTACTCCCTTGCGCGCTCCCCCTTCTTCGACCGGGGTCGGCGGATACCTCCTAAAGTTTGACTTGAAGAAGGCAGACCGGCGAGACCAATGACACTGGTGCTACGAAGGCATCATGCCAGAGAAGGGAGACTGTTCAGAACTGTTTGGTGCTTTTGCTGGCCCGCGTGTGCTCAGCAAAGTTAGAGGTTTAAAGTAGAAAAGTTCAGTCTAGAAAAGAGAGAGAGAGAGCGAGAGAGTGTGGCAGGACAGGAAGTTTAGACTCAAAACGTGTTGAAGAAGACAGACATTGTACATTTCCACGTCCTTTGATCTCAGATGGTTGATGGACACAGCCCACCTGGAGGGGCTTCGGAGATGCCTAAGCTGACCTGCGGAAAAATCTTCAAGGAACAGTGAAACTACCAAGTTTGGGAGTTGTAGTACAAGAACTTCTTCCATCTCAGGTGATTGTTGGAATGACCCCCCCTCACCTAGGCTCAAAAAGCCAAGTCTTTGTGGATCTCCTTTCACTTCAACAGTAGGTTTGTCCATGCTATGCTACAGTAAATAGCTAGGCCATGACCGAAGGCATGGAGGCTGAATTTTGTGCTTCATCACATTCACAGCTCAGGGTTGGTTGGATGTGTGTCCTGCAGTTCTTGGCATGCTGCCGATGCTTCTTCTGCCGCTTAGTGTGGGAGGGGGGGATCGCCGGAGGCAGTATTCACGCAATCCCAGTCACCTGGATCCACACATCTTGGCGACTTTCTGGGAATAACTACCTTATACACCCCGGCCCAGGATAACATCCTTCCTGATTTACGCTCAGGTGCTTTCTAAGACTTCTGTATTTCACCAGACCCGCCTTTGGTCCCAACTTGATAGGTCCTTCCTGGTGGGCGATGGGTGCGTGTTGGCTACCATGGCTGAAGTCATTGTGGGGTTCATCCCCTTTTAAGTGTTTGGTGTGTTTGGAAGTCGCAAGTTCCATTAGGCAGTTCGTACATGTTCTCCCTCATGATAGCTTTTTGATTCTTGATGAAGACAGGAGTTGACTGCAGATCCATGGTCCTATGTGGATGCGTGGATGCAGGGTCAACACTGAACACTACATGGCGAATACCTCCGTGGAACTAACATGGAAGATGGTGATTCAAGGATCCATGATCCACCTCCAGTTGCCAGGAGGTAGGATGGACCACTAAAGAAGCTTCCCTCCTCCCACGTTTCTTCAGGGGCAAGCCCCTGAGATACTGTAAGCACATGTTCACCCAGCGTGCGCCCCTGGTGTTTCGTTTCACCATGGACCGCCATGGACGCTGCCAAAATGGGACCCCCTTGGTCTCGGTCGCTTGGGCGCGCTAAGACCGGAGCATCCGGTCTTATGAAACACTTGAAACATCGTAGGTAGCCTTCGGCCTTCCTAACTGCGCCCGTTGAACGTAGCATAATAAACATACAAGCGAACATGGAACAAAAAGCGACTGATAGCTCAGTGAGGGACTGCGCCCTCGACTTCACCAGGGAAGCCTCAAAGGACAGGCTCAAGGGACTGACTGACTTCCGACCTCAGGTAGCTTCTGGAAGGGCTGTTGCGGTACCTTGGCAGCAGACCAGTTGAATGCGCCCCAGCTGAGGCATGGGTGCATTGGAGAGGGCATATGGTACGTGCAATGTCGAGAGTCTTTTGTTGGGTAGGTCTTGGTTTGCCTGGAAGCGGGGCAGACCTTGCTTCGGCCCAGTGTATCAGCCGACCGTCGACCTTCGAACACCGGTTCCGGTGGGTACTGCTCAATAGGCATCTCGAGTGTGTGCCATGCAGGCATCAGCACCGTCCGTGGGGTGACGTCATCTCAGCGTCGCTGTTCGGTCGTGGGGACATCGGTGAACCGTTGGGGGCGGCCAACGGCGGATTCCGAAGCGAGGTCAAAAACGCACTACTTTATCCAACAATCGTTGTTTTACATAGGGTTTTGCACTTCGCCAGGTGAACCATGTTTGCAAATGTCTTTGAAGGCTAGGGTTGCCAATCCCCTTGTCCAACACGCCTGGGCCAGATTTCATCCGGTTGGCACCCTGCAGCTCATCGGAAAGCACCGTTGGCCGCTTTGGCCAAGGTATTTGTGGCTACCTTTGCTGCAATACTGCTCCTTAGGTCGCATGCAGAACCACCATCGTGCGGGCGGCATGTAACTGACTTAAGAATTCGCCCCTGATTTGCCTGTGTGGCTGTAATTATGGCATTCTTGTCTTTAGAGCACAAGCCTTGCCTTCGAGAAACACAACATACATCAATTAGGTGGTTAAAGCATTTCTGGTCCGTCACCTAGAACAATGCGCGGCCAATCAAACTTCTTCCAAGGAAGGTATCCAGGATATCCACCATCTTCCTTGAGAAGCGCCTGTCCTTTTTGGTGAAAAGACGTTGGTCCTCTTTCACGCGTCATGTCTTGGTGTCAAGTGTAAGGGTCGAAGACGTCAAGCCACTTCACCTACAACTGCCCAGGTTGCCGGAGTCTGTTGCCTGCTGCCCCTGCTGGGTGTCATTGGGTATTTGCTCGTGGGATTGCTAGGCCCGGTAGTTGTTCACAGAGACTGGCGGATTCGCGGAGAGCGTTGTTTCGTGTTGACCCTCGGCTCTGTATTAGCTGATTCACAGTAAGCCGTTTTGTTGCTGTGTAATTCACACCTGGATGTCAAAGTTGCATGTACATATCGCAAGACTGAACTCCGTGACGGTTCTGTGGCAATCCTAATTAGGTCCTATAGTTCTTCCATGTTCCACATTTATAGTAAGGATTTTTGATCCTCACCCCAAGTCTGAAGAGATCCGACAAGCCCACAAGTCCAGTTTGTCGCCTCAGGCAAGCAGGGACCAGCTCGCCATAGAATTGTTGCAGGGGCCGCTGCCATTCCCAAAAACCTTCGCATCCCAAACAATATGCGAAACCCTAGGGATCCACATACCTTCTCAGGAGGTACTTGGGCCCTCCTGGCGCCTACATAAATAGTCTCCCTGCTCACCGTACCTGAGAAGGTAGGTACTTGGATCCCTAGGGAAATGCAAAGCTCCACCCTTTGGATGAACCATTCGCTCCGCCCCCTTCGGCGACTTGCATGACTCTTTTGCCACATGTTCATGACCTCAGCTGCCGCCATCAGCGGGCTGTTGAGCTTGGCGCTCTTTGGCATGGTGGCTTGGCCATGCCAGGCTTGCTGGATTGATCTGTTTGGAGATTGGAGGGATTTCACCGAGGGGGTCGAATGGGCTGACATGAAAAAGATCATTCGTTCGATTCTAGACGGCTTCTGTAGAAAGAAGGAACCTCCGTGGGACCAAGCGACAGCCAGGAGTGATGTATTTAGTAAGGCACTCTGTCTCAAGAAAGAGAGCTTTGGCATAGATGGTGTCTTAGGAAGAGAGCTACTAGGAAAGCTTCATGGGTTATAGGAAGAGGGGTTGACAAGGACAACAAGAGTCTACCAAGTAGACTATCGAACCGTTCAAGGGAGAATGCTTTGAAAGCTGGCCCCCCAACTGTTGTTGAGCAATACGCGCTGTGGGCTCACCTCAAGATGCATTTACTCAAAGCCAAGGTGCCACAAGTTACCTCTTGTGGGTTTTTTTCCAAACCAACAGATATATATCAATATCAAAGTTTGAGCCAAGAGATTCGAGTGGCGATGGACGGTGCGTGGGTTTCCACATCTCTGACCTATCCAAACCTGTTCTGACTCAGGTCTTACTCTCCTTGTCTTGGGCCTTGCGCTTCTTGGCGTTCTTCTTCCGCTCTTGGGCAGGTCAATGAACTTTCATCTACCCCAGACGTTTCTTCCTGACCAGCCAGATGAAAAACTACCTAGCTCTTGGAACAAATCCCTTCTGGACAAATTACAGCTCTATGGCAAGATATTTGCTGGACCGAATTGTATGCAGGGGCTGATTTGGAAGATCCAAAGGACCAGCATCTCCACCGAAAAAAACGTCGGCAAGAAGCTTCTCCTGGAACTGGTCAACAACCCCA